CTCTCCTTCTCTCTCTCTCTCTCTCTCTCTCTCTCTCTCTCTCTCTGTTTCCTGGAGTTATTTAGTTTATGAATGGTCCTGGGCCATCATGAGGGGGGTGGAGCTTCGGTTCCTACAATCGCTATGCGAGCTGTCAGTGCTTTAGCCAATCCGAGAGAGAAGACAGGCATGCTTGGCAAACGGTAGCAGCCACCGCTGCACTTGATAAAGAAAGGGGGGTAAAGATTGAAGTAAGAAAATAGGAGGAGATAGTAGAAGTCAAATGCTCACACACATTTTACAGCCCCCTCTTTATCCTCCTCTCTTATCAGTTGCAAGGAAGAAAAAGAGTGTATATAGAAGGGACTACTTGGAGATGGCTGGAATGACTGGAGAGAGAGTAGCAGTGGTTCAGATAGGTTCACCTTTTTTTTTTTCTATCAACATGGTGAGGAAGGTGCAAACTAACAAAATTACTTTTGCTTGAAGGCAAATGGAAGGAGGAAGGGGAATCTGGGAAAGGACCTAAATTTTTCTAAATTTTCTCCTCCAGCAGTATCTTCTTCCCTTTTCTTCCCCTCCCCTCCCATTGTTGACAAGAGCCAGATCAATTGCTGTATATGTACACTAGTTTGGGGGGGGGGCACGGATGGACTAGATATGGGGTGAGGGTTTATAACCATAAATCTCTTTTCAGTAATTTCCATATGCTGTTGAAAAACGATTTAGGGCAAAAATTGCCCAAACACTTTATTTGATAATTACTTCATATTTAAGATTCAGATATATTTAATGTTATTTATTGTTATGAGGACTAACAAGTTATGAGAGAGAAAAATATGTTTATGTTGTGGAAAATGGTGCAGATTCATATATGGTAGAATTTTGTTGGATATACTTTTAAATTAAAATAAGCCACTAAAATTGATTTGAACTTAATGAAAATGAAGGGAAGTAAATGTGAACCTGAGTTAAAGTTTTCTTAAAATGTTAATATTGTAAATCTAATTTTGAATATTTTTAGGCAGTACAGAGTTTCACTTGTAAAATCATTTTATTTTCATAATTGACTCTTGCTTTTAAAAGACTTCACTGCTGCAAAAATCTATAACTGTCCTGTTATTGATTACACAGATGGCTTCACTCCTTCCCTTGGCATTTCAATGAAACTCATGCATGTGCTTTTAGTATATGTATTATCCTTTCAAGCTGTACCCATTGTAGCCTTTAGATACTTTTGGTTGAAAAACCTGTAACAGTTTTTCTGATTTGCTTAGAATTGAGGGTTTGTGTTTGAACTTCAGGTAGATGGATTCTGAGTCTTTTTAAGACAAATCAAGTAGATGGGAATATTTTTCGTCAGATTTTACACGTGTTATTATAGTCTCCGATAATGCAATAACACTAAAAATCTATGAAGCCGATCGTGTGAAGACTTCATTTTGCAAAACCCGGTATGCGGCTTTTGCAAAACCAAAACCCCCTGGGAGGGCTTGACTTGTGGACCAGGTGAACATGAATTCAACTGCGTAGGGAAAGTTTATTTCATCGTGTACTTGATGTCAGACACTTGGATCTCTTGGTTCTTTCTTACATGTCTGGTGCGGACCACTGGTATCTTGTCACCCCTTCACTCTCGGTGCCCTAAGTCTCTTTCTGAAGAAATTTGCCCCCCCCCCTTTTTTAATCAAGTCGGATCTTTTGCCAGGGGTCTGTCTTTAGTGGCCAGGAGTTGGGAAGAACAGTTGGCAGTCAGTGTCCGCGAAACTCTGGGACGCGACCTTCAGTCGACTTCTCGGGAGTGGCGGAGACTTGGGGCGGCTGTGGGCTCCAGTGGGCTCCAGCCTTCTTGGGGTGTGCGGCTGGCTTCGGGACCTGGGCTGCAGGAGGGTGGAGCGGGGGCCCGGCTCCTGCAGGCTTCGCGCGCGTGGGACGCCCAGACTCTGTCCGCCATCCTGCCATTGGCCGCGAGATCAGGCCGGCGCTCCGGGCAGGAGGGGCACTTGGCGGCAGGGAGTTTCGTGAACCGCCGGTAGAGGATGCGGGGAGGCTTCTTCCGAGGGCAGTCATTGGGCGGAGACTTGTGGCGGGGTAGAGGGTGCGGAGCTTTCCCTCCCGGACCCTCAGGGTGGCCACCACTTCATCGCCCCTGGTCGGGGAGCGGCTGAGGCCTCGCGCGTGGAGCTGCCGGCCCGGGCTCCTGGCAGCGTTTACAGAAAGCCCCGGGGGTGACCACGGTGTCGTCCCTCCTCCGCGCCTGGGCCCGCGCGCTCTCTTCTCGGGTGGGGCGGCCCAAGCGGCGCGGATCTTCGCACCACCACTCGCCCGACACCCCACTTCTCCTCTCCTCCCGGCTCTGTCAGGGACGACCAAGTTTCGTCCCACCCTTGTCCCCTCGTTTCTGCACTTTTACCTACTGAGGCTGAGGGATGATAAAACGTTACAAATGTTTTGATTTAAAAACAATTCATTACCAATTTACCCTGTCCAGGGTAGATGCTCTAGTAAATAATAAATCAGTTAAACAAAGGCGACTTTAATTTATTGCCATGGTACTAATTAGAAACATCATTTGAGCAATAAACTTAAACACTTCCAGCAAATAATGCTCCCTCTCGCCAGTTCTCTTCCTTCCCCCTCCCCCACCCCAACTCACTCTGGCTGCCTCTGCTCTAAGAGCTGCTTCAGCTGTGTGTTTGCGGATCCGCTCTTCCTCTGGTTGAATAATTGAAGGGGGAAACGGTATCCGAGGAGGCTGTAATTGAAGAGCCCCTGTCACCTCTGCTTTTATGTATGTTAGTATAGAAGTCCATCAGCAGCTCCTTGATGGTGTATTAAAACGAAGTGGCAGCCCCTTCTGCAGGAGATACCGTATTCTATTAAAGGAGACCAAGTGAGAGAAAGAAACTCTAGAGGCTAAAAGCCACTTCAAGTCTTCAGACCGATTGATCTGTATTCTCTTGTTATAATCCGTCTCATCATACTTGAGTTAATGAGGCAAAAGAGGGGGAGTGAAATCTGATGGTCCTTGACAAATTCATTAGGGAGGCTGCAGGACATTTTATTTGACTGTTAAACATCTTGTTTGTTTGGTTTAGGCAGTGCCAACATCAGCGTGCTTCTGCCCAGACCTATCATGTTGGGCTGGCTACAGACCTTCCTAAAAAGAGAAAGAGGACATTCAGGATGTGATTTGAGTGTTTTGCTTTGGATTTCGTGTAGTCCATAACCTTCAGATTTATCTAGGATTTACCTTCCTCATCATTACACTGGGAACATTTTATGAGACTGTAGATACTGAGGTGGGCATGTTTTTAATTACTATAAACTAAAAAAATGTATGTTTAAACTTTAGTCTGAAAAGTTCCCATTTCCTTAAAAAAATTGAGTCAAGTTATAGCAATTACTGTACCAGTGTTTGAAAATGTGAATGTTTAAGATACAGAAGAGTAGCCAGATTATACATTAGATCCTATTTTTACTTGATCATGGTTAAAGAAACTTTTAATTATTAATTGAATTTCCTCTTTCAGTGAAACACTTACGGCTACAGAAACTTGGAAATAAAAAGATTGACTATTTATACACATATAATCTTTTCAAAAGAAAATTTGTATATTTTAGTGATTCTTTTTTTTTTAATTGAGTATAGTCAGTTACAATGTGTCAGTTTCTGATGTACAGCACAATGTCCCAGTCATGCATAGACATGTTACATATATTTGTTTTCAAAATTTGTGTATTTTAATTTGAGGGCCTTGTTATTTTTAAACTTAGAAGCAGAACCAGGTACTCTATGAATGGTGCTAAAATAAGGTGATGAGCTGACAAAATACTTAAAAAACAGAGAATATTTCTAATTGAAGAATAATGGACAATTAAGCTAGAATGCTAAATCTTTTAATATTTTATTCTAAGCTAATAAGAATACAGTACTTGATTATTCTCAGTTTATCCAATTGTGGTACTTTCTTGCATAGAGAATTCAGTCATATTTTCCTTCAGCAATTGACTTAAACAGCCTCAGCTTAAGTGCTTTGAGAAAGAACTCTGTCTTCCATTTATAGGCAAACAGTATGAGAGAAAAAAGAAAGCTAATGCTCTTTGCCTGTCATTTTTATACATTCCTGCACTGCTGATGAAGCTCGAACTGCTGCAGGGAATGTATGGATTTGAAAAGAAATGATTCAGTAGTTCATGTTGTGTTTCTCAGAAGCAAAACCAAACTAATGGCTGAAGTCAGTGCTTCTGTACATCTGACAGTTATAATCCTGTTTACATTTCCAGAGAATACAGAATCCTTAAACTGTTTTATTTTTTGCTGATCTTTACTTAGAAATGTGCTTACTGAGTTAAACTTCAGTGCAGCTTTTACTTTATCATATCACTGGGGCCTAAAAGATGTCCATTAATTTATTATCTGTAGAATAACATACAGTATTTCAATAATCTTTCCTAAAGAGTGTACAGATTTTCAGTTATATGATTTTGTTTTCTGGGAAAACATTTAGAATTATTCAAAAATAATCAGATTATTGACATTAAAAAATCAACTCTCTGGATTTATACTTTTCGGAACACAAAGGACCACATTTTACCTGTATGTATTCTTATCCTCTAAAATCTAACTTTAAAACATCTATGCAGTTGCTAAGTGTTTGGCTCTTGTATAATTAATCATTCAATGTATTTAAAAAAATTCTTGATTTTTTTAAAAAGAAAATTCTTTTGGGAGGGTCAAAATGTAAAAGGGGAAATAAATAGCTATTAAATTCTCTGAATTTAAAAACTATTCCAGTAAAAACAGAAAGAAAAATAAATAACCCAGACACAGTTCATTAGTGTTGATGAAATTTCATTGAAGGAGTTATATTAAAATATCTGTAAGAAGCTTTAACAAAAGCAACTGTCAGAAAAATAGCATCCACATTGTACTAAAAGTCAAAATAAAACCACATTCTCCTTCATTCTCTGTCAAATGTTCTAATTTTCCAAAGCCCCTAAGTATCATATTGTTTCAAAACTATTGATAATCGAGAGAATAATTAGTACTTGAATTTTTTCTTTGAACAGTTCACTGTAGTGCCTATTAATTTTATATAGTCAATCATGCTATTAAGACAAGTTGTTGGGTTTTTTTTTTTTTAATTTCTTTCACAAAATAGCCTTATAAAAACCCTCGAAACCTTGTAATCTCTTTGATTGGTAACCCAAGGGTATTGTTCTCATTTGAACAGTTTGAACTTAATGTTCTGTCAGGTCAAGGCAATAGTTTTAATTTTGTATAGCAAGCCTCAAACTGTGCTGAAAAATAAATGCTTCTGTGTACTTTTGAGTATTGTTTTGTGGGATTAAGTTTGTTTGGGTTACCTTGGATAATATATTTGATTAGTGATGCTTATACCTATTAAATTTTTACAAGTCTGATTCTTGTGTAGTTTAGTAGGTTGAAAAAATTGAAAGTACAATAGCTATTTGTTTTTTCCCCAAGTTGAATACCATCTGTATATATGAGTACATGATTAAGCTATATATAATCTAATATCAACAAGATGTGCAATGATGGAGCAAAAAACTTGTGTTCAGGAAAATGGAAGTAAGCAGCTTTTAGCTTGACTGAAATGTAAATACTATGGTAATATTGAGCTAGGATATGAACTGTTAAGACAATCTGAGTTAATTTGGCAAGTATTTTTCAGAAGGTATTTCATTGAATTTACTATGTTTTCACTTATGCTGTCTTGTGTCTTTTGGCTTTACCAAGAAATCATTTCGCTTTTTCTCATTTTTAGATTAACACATTTTTTACTTGTAGCAATCACATTCCTTTATTCCTGTAATACAGTTAAATAGTTGTTCTGAAGAGTTAAAACAAATAAGATTCTGTCTTGTCTGTCTTCTTTCCTTCCTTCTTAACAGTCTGAACTTATTAATGTAGTACTGAGATAAATATTAAATTTTACATGTCTAATAACTTTGGCTTTCATGGCTCACTGTAATCTGATTTCACTCTAATTCAGTTCAGTTCAAAACATCAAATCTTATGGTTTAAAGAAAATATGGTATCCTCTGTTTAATAAGATGATACTACTGACTCACATGGAGAATGTGCTTCTTGGGGTCTTAGAGCCATCCCCACGCCCATTTCTGCTTTCCCTTGTGATCAGTGCCAGACGTTTACGGAACAGATGATTGAGATTAGGGATGTAGGTTATGGCAGTACTGAGCCGTGGCTTAGTTCAAAATAAAAGACTGGCATTACGCTCTATATTTCTTTCGGGTCATGTGAAACATTTTGTGGACTTACGTTTAAAATGATCAGTTAAGCGTGTCATAGGTGAATTTTCGTTACACTTTAGGAAAACTAGCCATTTTAAACATCTTAGTTTCTTTTGAAATATATAGGTTCTGCACAGTACCACTATATTAGTAGTAGTAGTAGTAATTTGGCATCAGTCTTCTGCTAAGATTACAAGAAATTTTTAATAGATTTTGTGTTATTTTTGCTGAAAATGTTAAAAAATCTAGCCTGTTTGTTCAGTTAAACATTGTGGATTAGAGTAAAAATGATGTGCTGAGAGGTTTCTCTGATTCCTGGTAGTGGTTAAATAACAACAACAAAAATCCTTCATTGGCTCTAATCTCTGTATAGAAGACATCTGTGTAGTATAAATGAAATAATATTTGATGATCTAAGGAATGGAAACTTTGCCTTTAACCATCTGAAATAAAGCGAGGATATAAAACATCTGTCTTGGCCTATGTATATCAAGGTTCTGCCAGTCTGTTTCTTTTCTGAATTTTCCCTTTCTCTCTACCCTTATTATCTTTGAATCCTAAAGAGTCATTCTCTTATTTTCTGACTAGTTTTGCTATAGACAAAACCTGGGTTAGTAGGTTTAAATCAGCCTAGATAGAGTGAAAAATCTTTGATCTATGGCTGTGACTGTTTCCAAATGATTTGCTTGCTGGGACCAGACACTATCCATGCCCTTTCACTTTGCTATCAGATAGGTACACACAAAGGACCTGAAAGGCCACCAGATGCACAGTTAATCATCATATTAGATAAGTGAAGGTTTCCAACCATACTTAATTAGATCTTCTGTTTCCAATAGTTACTTGTGCTGTAGGACCTTGTTGGTTAAATACTCTACAAATCTAATCTTTTCTGCAAATGAATCAAAACTTTCTGTAAATTGTAGCTTCAGTTAAAAATGAATGATACAAAATTATGTATTTAAAAAAAAATACAAAGTTGCTGCTGTCACATAGCTTACCTGCCTAGATAAGATAAAAGGGAGACGGTATGATAGTACTAAA